AAGATATCAAAGGGATTGGAGAAATCAAATTGAGACAATTCAAAGCAATACAACTATTACTGCTTAAAAGCAAATGCTTGCCCTGCCTCGGGTAGAACCTCTGTTCATCTCCCCGCTTCTTCAAGAGCAATGGTCATTTGTCAAATATTTATCAAATGTCCACAAATGCCTGACCTTGGATGGAGAAGTGAAAAGTGGAGTTGTTGGCCTGGACAAAGTCAGAGTCAAGAAAGAATCAAAAGAAATAAAACACCTAGAGCACTATTAACTGCTAACCGGGTTCTTTTGGTGATGGCTGTAATTGGAGCTCATTAAGAGAAGAGACGTCAGAAAGGAACTAGGAGGGGCGCCTGGGTGGCTCAGTCATTGGGCGTCTGCCTTCTGCTCAGGTCATGGTCCCAGGGTCCTGGGATCGAGCCCCGCGTCGGGCTCCCTGCTCCGCGGGAAGCCTGCTTCTCCCTCTCCCACTCCCCCTGCTTGGGTTCCCTCTCTCGCTGTGTCTCTCTCTGTCAAATAAATAAATAAAATCTTAAAAAAAAAAAAAAAGGAACTGGGAAATTAGAGCTGGCCCAGAAAGGAAATGGGGCTTTGGATAAGCTCCCCTGGTTCTCCACACACAAAAATCATGGCTAGGCTGAAGTGTCCCGGTGGTTCCATCTCGTAGATAATACGGTTCAGCCTTAAGACAAAGCAGTACAGTATTCACGTACCCTTGAACCTTTGTCAAAGTGTCACTGTAAACTTCTGCCTTCTAATGAGTCAACTCAAAAATTATAGCAATGTCTGTTTTTCAAAGTGTATATTTGTAACTTTTTTTTTAAGTAGGCTCCACGCCTAGTGTGGAGCCAAACTCAGGGCTTGAACTCACGACCCTGAGATCAAGACCGGAGCTGAGATCAACAGTCTGACGCTTAATCAGCTGAGCCACCCAAGTGCCCCTGTAACTTTTTTTTTTATTAAAGATTTTATTTATTTATTTGAGAGAGAGAATGAGAAAGAGAGAGCACGAGAGGCGGGAGGGTCAGAGGGAGAAACAGACTCCCCGCCGAGCAGGGAGCCCGATGCGGGACTCGATCCCAGGACCCTGGGATCATGACCTGAGCCGAAGGCAGTCGCTTAACCAACTGAGCCACCCAGGCGCCCTGCCCCTGTAACTTTTTATTAAATTATAATATCATATTTAAAGTGCCTAAATAATGGCTCTATTAATTTTCACAGACTGAACATACCCAGTAGAACGAGCACCCAGGTCAAGAAACAGAACAGCAACAGAAGCCCAGAAGCCCTTCTTGTGTCCCTTTCCAGTTACTACCCTTCCAAGGGTTACTGTCATTTTGACTTCTAACGCCTAGGTTGCTTTATCTGTTTTATACTGCATACAGAAGGAATTATACAGTAGGTACTTTTTGGCATCTGACTTCTTCCTCTCAACCTTCTATTTGTGAGACTCAGTCACATTGTTATACAGAGTAGCAGTTTGTTCATTTTCCACTGTGGGAACACACACCACTTACTTACCCATTCCATAGATGTCAGGCATGTAGGTAGTTTCTAGTTATGGCTGTTATAATTAGTGCTGCTATGACTACTTCCATGAATGTTTTTCCATGGACGTAAGAATGCATGTCTGTTGGGTATGTTATCTAGGAGCAGAGAAGCTTCGGCTTTTGGAGATACTGCAAATAGACGTAGTAGTTTATCTGAGAATTAAGGGCCCATCTCTGCTTTTGCCTGTTCCTGGCTCTAACTAGGATGTCCTGTACCAGGCCTGATCTAAATCTAACCTTCTGTCATCCAAGACTGAGAGATCCCAAACCATTCTATTTGCATCTACCTTTTTTTTTTTTTTTTTTAAAGATTTTATTTATTTATCTGAGAGAGAGAATGGGAGACAGAGAGCATGAGAGGGGGAGGATCAGAGGGAGAAGCAGACTCCCCGCTGAGCAAGGGAGCCGGATGCGGGACTCGATCCAGGGACTCCAGGATCATGACCTGAGCCGAAGGCAGTCGCTTAACCAACTGAGCCACCCAGGCGCCCCCTATTTGCATCTACCTTAAAAATATTATCTTCATAGATATTGCCTGTGCTTATTTTTTTCCCTAAAGAAAAGTCTGATCACCAGAAGGGCAGAACAAATTATATTGTAGTTAAAGGCAAATTATATTACCAAGGACAAGCTGTCTAGTAAAACACAACTTAGAATTATAATTATTTTCAAAATGAATCAATTATTCATATAAACCCAACCACTCACTGGTAAATTAATGAAAAATATAATAGTGCTGAGCTTTTAATTGCTTCTATCACAAAACCCTTAACTTAAACTTCGGTTATCAGGCAGAAAAGAGGCAATTGGTTTAAAACAGGTGCATCAGGAAAAGCCTGTTACAACATGGCCCCAGAGCAAATATTCTCCAAGTCTGTGAAGTACATCTGTCCAATTTTTTCAGGCTTTTACTTTAGACAATCCTACGTAGTCCCTCTAAACTAATTACTTTTTTGCTTTTTTTTTTTTTTTGGATCAGGATCTTTTTCTAACATCTCCAGTATATAAGCTTTATAAGAGTCCTGTTATCTCAACCCTCAAGTTTAATTTCCTCCCCAGAACTGGTTTTTTTTTTTTTCCAATGTCAGAAAAACGGCAGATAAAAAGATTACTGAGTGGTGATAGAGCTTCAATAAATGAGGGCTTCCAGCTGGTATTGCTACTTCCTCTTCCCAAAAAGTAATCTTTTTTGAGGATATTAAACATCACTTGTGACCTTTAAAAAGAACTCTCTGAAGTCATTCATTCACAATAAAATCTGGTTAGACTATCCCAGTAGGGAATAACATAAAATGATGCCAATTTTCCATTATAAGACCCGATAATGCTCCATGACACACTTTCAAGATTGCTGAATAAGTGTGAAATGGTCCAAATAACAATCCAATATATTTTGCTGGGCACCATCAGGTTAATAAACTACAAATAAACACAATCGGGAGAGAGAAATGAGAAACAGAGTCATTTCAGAAAAAATAATTCCCCCCATATTATATTCCCTATGAAGATTGAAAGAAGAGGCAATTTGTTCTTGGTACCAGACCTGTGCCCATAGAAGCAGAGAGGGCGGCCGCTGCAGTGGTGGGGAGGGAGGGTCATAAGGAAATGACCCCTCGCAGCAGAAAGGAATGAGCTGAAGGGCATGGGAAGGAACTTCCTGGGCCTTTCCATGGCACCTGGAATCCCCAACTCTGCTGGACTCCTGAGGTTGTGACAGGTCACAGACTGTTGTGACCAGCATGTTTATTCACTCAACAAATATGTGTGAAGGATCTATAGTGTCCCATATTCTGTTCTAAGGTTTGGAGATTCCATGATGAACAACACAGATCCGGTCCCTGTCCTTATGGAGCTAAAAATCTAGAAGAGCAGGTAAAACAGGAATAAATGAGTACATAGGTAAATTCTAAAAAGTGAGATCTAGGGTGCCCCCCGCCCAGAGAATATGAAAGCTACTAAATCTGGAGGCGGGGACAGGGGGCCAGAGAGTGACTTGGTTACGTACAGCATGTGCTAGAGTTCGCCACTGTTAAATATGTTGAATCCATTATTCATAACGAATGCCATCTTTAGCCAGGAGAGTGGTATTTATTGTCTTTCCACTAGTCATTTCCATGCCATTAATTTTTTTAAAGATTTATTTATTTGAGAGACAGAGAGAGCACGAGTTGGGGGAGGGCCAGAGGGAGAGAATCCTCAAGCAGACTCCCCACTGAGCATGGAGCCGGATATGGGGTTATAACCCAAACTGAGTGGGTGCTGCAGACCAGGGGTCCTCAGGGCACAATGCAGATATTTTGCCCCCTACCCTCCGGTCTAGACCCACTCTCCACCTGACTCCACCCTGCTCTACCCTGGGAGGCTGACTCATGGACTGCATCGATGGATGGGTGCCTTTGCTCTCTGTCTTGGAGCTAGGAACCGGGGGCAGGGTGGGAGGGCTCGGCAGGAGACGCAAAGAGGGAGAAAGGTAAGGTCAGATTCCTTACTTCCCTGGCTCTCTTCCAGGGTGGTTGCCGTGGGCTGGCTGCATCCCTCCACCCAGCTCATGGCTCTGGTCAGGCAGCCCTCTCAACATAGCTCCTGTGAGCGTGCTCTCTCTGGGTTTCTATGCCTGGGCACTGTGCTTCCCCTTGTGCTTTCCTCACCTGCTCACACCTTTGTACATAATGTCTTTATTTAGCTTTCCTCAAATTACCTGGTTGGACAGTGTCATCTGTAGCCCACCAGGACCTGAACTGAAACAGTCATGCAGCAAGGATTTCAGGGAGGGGGTGCTGGTGAAGGCCTGAGAGACAAATGCAGACACAAAGATGCTTGTGGGAGATGGCAGGGGGTGGCGGGGGGGAGGCTAGGGGATGGAAGGTCATGATGGCGGGGAAGAGGGGATGATGGGAGAGGTGGGATGACAGACTAGCCACGGACTACAGCACTTATGGGAAACCTACTGTGTGCCAGGCACTATTCCACAGGCTTGAACATAACTCACTGACCTCCTGTATCTTTCTCATGAAGCATCCCATTGACGGATCAGGAAACAGAGGCACAGAAAGGCCTAGGGAGTTGCTCAAGGTCCTAAGCTAGTAAGTGGGGAAGCTTAGATTCAAACCCAGGGAGGTCTAGTATCAAAATAATGTTCTCAGCCTCTGTGCTAGAATGACCACTCTGGCTGGGGCAAAGAAAGGGACTTCAGAATTCAAGATCTTGCAGGAGGAAGGCACTGGTGATGACATTCTTGGGACAGCCATCTGAGCAGATCGCTGAAGTAAAGCTACTTGAAGAAAGTCTTGCTACCCTCCACAAACCCTGCCTCGGTGACAGTGCAGAATCCTGTACAGATATCTGAATGGCAGAAATCCCGAAGGAAACAAAAAGACCGTATCCAAATAAATTATAGTCATTTGTGTTATAAACCACAGCTATGATCCTAAGAAACCTCACATTACCAAAAAACATACATAAGTAATTATTTCAATATGGGAAAAGGAGGGTTATGGTCACAGAGAATTGATAAAGCTAAATAATTCTTCCTGTAGGAGCTTCGATCATAGAGAGTTTAATGACATTTTGTTGCCATCTGAAAATCATGAATGGTTTGAGCACATACCAACAAAAGAGAACCTTGAACAGCACAAGACAATAACCTGCTGCCAAGTTCACACCCACTGACGATAAAGAAAAGCCCAGGGCTCCCTCCGATGGTGCTTAAATCACAACCCCTCAAGGTCCAGAAAATGCAAACCATGCTTCTCAAGTGCGCAGGTTCGTAATAACCAGTTCTCGAGATGAAAACTGACACCATAAGGGAAATATCAATCAGTGATGTTTGTGTAAGGTCTCTTGCAGCAGATAAGATCGTGAAAACAACAGTGCTCGGGAAAACGAGGAGCACCAGGGACAGGGAACGATAGCGCGTTCCTCCCCTTACTTGTTCTAAATGGCACCTCACCATCTTAACTCAGGCTGCCTTCCTTTGGCCAACAGAGCCAGGCCATCCTGTTCCTATTAATATCAGAAATAGCTTCCACGGCAATTGCTTTCCTTTCCTTCAGGAGAAAGGGAGGAGAGGACATGCTCCCTGAGTCAGACTCATCTATTTTTCATTTGCACCGTGGGCTGCCAAGCATGCCAGCCCAGCCGAGGCTGTAATGATGAATCCAATAACAAGCTCGTACAAACGTCGGCCGGGGGCCTGGGTTCAATAATCGCTACGACTGTGTTGACCGGCCTCTGCCTTCCTCTGTTCTTGCGGAACATCCTCTTGCTGGGTCCCACGCACAGTAAAGACAGGGCTGCACAAAATGGTCCATTTCTACAGTCCTTCACTCAACATCTGGGGCTGGTGGCTGTGATTATGCGGACGCTCAGCTTTTCCATGCAAGTGGGGGTGGGGGGACGCTGGGGAGGTAGCAGGCAGATGACACTTGTTCATCAGTGATGTTCCATACGTTCATACAACAGGAGCCAAGAAAAGCTGACACTACTGAAAATATTTATCCTTTCAGGTTCAGACTGCTCATTTGTTTTATTTATTTATTTATTTTTATTTTTTAAAGATTTTATTTATTTATTTGACAGAGAGCACAAGCAGGGGGGAGCAGCAGAGGGAGAGGGAGAAGCAGGCTCCCCTCTGAGCAGAGAGCCCGATGCAGAGCTTGATCCCAGGACCGTGGGATCATGACCTGAGCTGAAGGCAGATGCTTAACCGACTGAGCCACCCAGGCACCCCTGCTCATTTGTTTTAAAGGAGTGCACCCTCTCTTTTGGGTAGAGCAGAAGGAGAGATTTGATGAAGTACTTTGGAAAGGATGTGGCTTAGCTAAGTGTATTGCCAGGTTTTGAAACTTCCCATTTTTCTGATGCCTCAACATCCCCACACACAGGCTGTGAGCATCCGCCCTAGCAGCGAGATAGATACCCACCAGCTCAATAAGGCTGGTCCCTGCTACAGTTCCTCTTCTTCGCCCCACCCCCACCCCCGCCCTCGACTGTGACTGAGTGACACTCAAACACACCAATAAAATCTCCCGCCTTTGCTTGACTAGCCCACCCTGATCGCCAAAAAGGCACTTGCCCATGGGTGCATACTCTCGGCTCCCCACCTGCTTGGTTCAGTCTGCTCCCTGGGTGCTCCTCCCAGGTGGCCTCCCTCCTCTAGGCCCTGTGAGTATAATGGATCCTCTCATTTCATATGCCTCTGTAATTTCTGTGGCTATGTTGGAATCATCCTCAAAGACCCCACAAGGGAGACTTACTCCCCCGTTTACATGACGCTAAGCCACCCAGTGGTTTGGGAAAAGAAGCTAAGGCCTCTGATGACTGTGAAGATCAAGATACAGGCCACAGGAATGGACCCCCAATTTTAGGTTTGAAAAATGCCGTCTGAACATTAGGGTTTGGAAAAGACAATCTAAATTTTAGGATCTTCAAATAAAATTGGAAGGACGCAAGCTTCAGTCCACATTGCAGAGAACTGGGGAGTTCATCAGAAAATTGCTCCTGGATACTGGACACATTTCCCCCTTAAACATGCAACCTTCGTGACACCGAATGAACCAGGTGTACCACCATCTTCGGCACAAGTTGTAAAGTAAAATATCTGTGTGTTCTGCTTGGTGAACAAATGGATACTTGCAGATCTTTCATGTGATAGGATTCAAGCTGTTTATAAAAAACAAAACCAAAAAAATGATATAGAAAATTGCCTTCCTAGACAGAAATATAGAATAACAACGTTTGGGCGCCTGGGTGGCTCAGATGGTTGGGCATCTGCCTTAGGCTCAGGTCGTGGTCCCTGCTCAGCGGGCAGTCTGCTTCTCCCTCTGCCTCTGCCTCTCTTCTCTGTCTCTCATGAATAAATAAATAAAATCTTTAAAAAAAAAGAATGGCAACGTTTACGGACATCACAAAGAATCCAATTCTTTACATGAAAAACAAAAAGCAAGCTTCATCTTCTAAAGTCAAGATTGGGAAACCTGTTGCTGAGAGCACCTCTTCTGGTCTCTTCCTCGGGGATCCGACTATACAGAGCACAGCCCTGCTCCTGTGGGCGGGGCTATGCTGTTCAGAGCCACCGGGAGCTCTTTTTTTTTTAATTATTATTAAAGATTTTACTTATTTGACAGAGAGCACAAGCAGGGCGAGCAGCAGAGACAGGGAGAAGCAGGCTCCCTGCTCCATCCCTGGACCCTGGGATCATGACCTGAGCCGAAGGCAGATGCTTAACCAACTGAGCCACCCAGGCGCCCCCGCCTGTGGTTCTTAAAATTCTTCAGTTAAGGTTCACAGGGAGGAGATGGTCCATTCACATCCCGCTCCATTCTATGCAAGGAGTGACTCCGAAATAGTTCTCATTTTCCCCTTCACCTTGCTCTACCTGTCCCCCCCCCCCAATCTGATTTCCCCTTCTCTTGAGCACACAGCTAGGCTGCATTTGCCAGCCTCCTTAGCTGTCAAGTGTGGACCAGGACTAATCCAGAAGCCCAGTGCCGGACTGTATGTGGGGCAGGGGAGGTGGGGGTGAGTGGAGGGGTGGGTGGGAGGAGAGGCACAGGCCTGGCTGGGGTGGGTTGGAGAAAATGAGAAGGGAAGAATGGAGAGAGTGAGTAGAGACAAATTAGACATGTCTTTCACAGCCCTTTGCTGTAAAAAGGAACAGAAACGTGGGGCAGGAGCCGAAGAGCAATATGGGGTCAAGGGAGGACTTCTTTTTTTTTAAGATGAGGGATATTACAGCCTGTTTTAGGTGGCTAAGATAAGCCAGTCGAGAGGGTAAAATCAATATGCAGGAAAGAGGAGGTAAGTGGAAGTATGAGGCATGTGACCGTGACCCGGAGAGGAGGTGGGACCGCCTACCTTAGGAGGGACCGGCTTTAAATAGGAGCAGAGATAACATACCCACTCTAACAGATGGGGGCCTCTGGGGACAGGGGCAGGCAGCCCGCAGTGACAAAGTTCTTTTTCTGTTGTTTGAATTTCCCAGTAAAATAAGAAGCAAAAGCAAGATTTGGGGCTCAGAGGGTGATCCTTAGAAGAGGTAGTAGAAACAACCTGGTTTCCTCTAGACCCCGGCAACAAGCAGCCTCAAGCTGGACCAGTGTGGTGCCAAAGCTCACTGGGCAGCCCAGCTGCCAACCCAAGGACTGCTGAGCCACCTCTTTTTCTTCCCTTCTCCCTTTCTCTCTCTCTTTTTTCCAAAATTATTTATTTACATATTGTCACTGCAGGGTGATGTTCATGTTGTGAGCTGCGACTTAGTTGCAGCAAAACAAAATAATGTGTAACATTAAATTAATGTTGTTGATTTATTAGTTTTGTTCTTTACTGTCTTGGCTCTTTAGCTGTGTAAGAACCCTGAGCCTGAGGCATTTTTTGACCTTAAGCCTTCTCACCACATGTGCACACACACAGTTAATTATGCAACGTGATGGATGTTAATTATTTTGATCTTGGTAATTATTTCACCATATATAATCAAATCACGTTGTACACTTTAAAGACATACAATTTTATTTGTCAATTATTCTTCAACAAAGCTGTAAAAAAAAAAAAAAAAAAAAAAAACCAGGCCCATTTCTAAGGAGAGAAAACAGTTGGGAAACGCAGGCTTAGCAGCCAGGAGGGTCAAATGTAGGCAAATCTCTCAGGAATCAAGACCAGGCAGAAAAAACCCACCAATCTTTTAACAACACTTAAAAAACTAAAAATCCTTGATCCATTCACTCTCAGTTTTCCTAGTAAACTCTTCCCACTCCATGAGAAAAATACTAATGCCCCAATAGGAAATACAGGCTGAGGACATTTACAAAGAATTGATAGGTAAAGAAATGTGAATGGCCAATAATATGAAAACATTGCATTCACCCACAGAGGCAGAAAATAGAATGGTGGTTGCTGGGGACGGGGCAAGGGGAGTGGGGAGTGAGTGTCTGATGGGTACAGAGTTTCAGTTTGGGAAGATAAAAAAGTTCTGGGGGCGCCTGGGTTGGCTCTGAGTCAGGCTCCCAGCTCAGCGGAGAGACTGCTCTCCCTCTCTCTGCTGCTCCCCCTGCTTGTGCTCTCTTGCTTTCTCTCTCTGTCAAATAAATAAGTAAAAACTTTAAAACAAACAAAAAACCATTTGAGCCAGGTGCCCCTCAATACACATCCTAAACATGCATCTTCTCAGAGTTGCCAGTTCCAGTGTGCGTGAAGCAGGGCCCAACACAAAACACGTGGGACAGTTATGTTCATAGTGGCATTATCTGTAAGAGTAAAAATATTAGTGATGGTCAGCAAAACACGGTTAATAAATTATGGCATGGCTGTATAATGGAATGTTTTTCAGCCATTAAAAATGATATTTTGGGGGCACCTGCGTGGCTCAGTGAGTTAAGTGTACAATTCTTGATCTCAGCTCAGGTCTTGATCTCAGGGTCATGAGTTCAAGCCCTGTGTTGGGCTTCATGCCTACTTAAAAAAATATATATTTATTTATTTTATTTATTTTATTTTATTTTATTTTATTTATTTTATTTTATTATGTTACGTTAATCACCATACATTACATCATTAGTTTTAAAAAAGATATTTTTGAATTTAAATGCTATTTTTAAAAGGCTCACAGTATAATGTTTACAGAAAATTGAGACAGTTGGCAAAAATGGAATTGGGTCTGTAGCTTAGATAATAGTTCTGTATAAATGTTCATTTTCCCAATTTTCATAATTGCACTGTACTTATATAAGAAAGCAACCCTGTTTTTTAGGAAATACACACTGCACTAAAGTATTTATGGGTAATAGAGCATCATGTCTATACTTACTCTCAAATGATTAAGAGAAAATAATAATATACAGAGAATGATGAAGCAAATGTGGCAAAATGTTTACAATGGGAGAATCTGGATAGAGGGTATAATTCTTTTTTTTTTTTAAAGATTTTATTTATTTATTTGACAGAGAGAGAGAGACAGAGAGAAAGGGAACACAAGCAGGGGGAGTGGGAGAGGGAGAAGCAGGCTTCCTGCCGAGCAGGGAGCCTGATGTGGGGCTCGATCCCAGGACCCTGGGATCATGACCTGAGCTGAAGGCAGACGCTTAACAACTGAGCCACCCAGGCGCCCCCAGAGGGTATAATTCTTTAGAAAAGCAAATAACCCAATAAAAAAAGGTCCAACGATACGGACAGGCCATTTACAGGAGAATAAATAAAGATGTCTAATAAAATTCTACAGGATGATGCTCAACCTTATTAATAAGCAAGTGAAATGCAAATGAGTTATTTTTTACCTGTGTTGGCCAGGATGGGGGGCACTTTTGGCACAGCCTTTTGAAATGTTATCAGTAGTCATCTAACAAATTTGGAGATGTGCATGCCCTTTGATGCAGTTAATTCCGCTTCTAGGGCGCTATTCTACAGAGGGGAAAAAGGTGCATGCACAATTATACAGAGAGTGTGATCCTTCTTTGGTTAACAATAAAAAGCTACAAGTAAATCACAAAAATGGGAACAATGATTAATGATTACCTCCTGGTTTTAAAAAGGAGACTGTGTTCTCAGCGCTGCTTCTTAAAAATATATGAAATAGTCCACAACTGCCAAACGATGGAAAGAGCCCAGATGTCCATCAACGGATGAATGGATAAAGAAGATGTGGTGTGTGTGTGTGTATATATATACACACACAACTGAATATTATGCAGCCATCAAAAAATGAAATCTTGCCATTTGCAGCGACGTGGATGGAACCAGAGGGTATTATGCTAAGCGAAGTAAGTCATTCAGAAAAAGACAATTATCATATGACCTCACTGATATGTGGAATTTAAGAAACATAGAGGCAGAGATCATAGAAGCAGAGAGAGAAAAAGGAAACAAGACCAGAGAGGGAGATAAACCATAAGAGACTCTTAATCTCAGGAAACAAACTGAGGGTTGCTGGAGGGGAGGGGAGTGAGGGGATGGGGTAACTGGGTGATGGACATTGGGGAGGGCATGTGATGTAATGAGCACTGGGTATCATATAAGACTGATGAATCACAGACCTGTACTTCTGAAACCAATAATACATTATGTGTTAATTAACTGAATTTAAATTTAAAAAATTATATCAAAAATATCTGAAATATTAAAATAGGTAGGAAACATACAAAAGCGACTATAGCAAACCTCCATATACCCGCCAACCAGAGTTAACAAATGTGAAGTTATAAGACAATAAGTCATTAGATATATTTGAGCACCATCCCAACTTTTTTCCACCCTTCTTCTTCCAGAGGTTCTTCTTCCTAAGCTTTCTTCTTTAAGCTTTTCTATACTTACAATGAAAACCTACTATCCTCATAATAACCATAAGCCTTTGGGAAAAGCAGCATGGATGCAAAATAAGCAAATCACTTGCACGCTGCTCAGTATGTCTGGGAGACTCTGGTAATTCCGTCTGACTACCTGTTACTGGAGAAACTGCTATTGTCAGGTACCTTCACGTGCGTGCCACAGGACTGGCTCATTGGAGGGTTGAAATAAAATGCCATTTGGGAACCAGTAGCTTTCACGTTTTAATGCGCAGGTAATTCTCCAGTGGAACAATAGCTGGAACAATACCAGTTGCAGCACGACTTAGCCAGGAGGTGCTGTACCCATTACCTTTCCTTCTAGTCCAACTGCTCTGTTACTGTTAAGGAATCTACCATCCAGAGCAAGCATGTGACTTGCTCGAGACCAGACCCCAGGTCTGCTATGGGGGAGAATAAGGGAGGGCCTCCACGAGCAAGATGGCACTGGATCCCTTTGCGTCCCTTTTTGGAAAATAAGAACTAGAAGGGTTCCCAGAATGTTCCACTGAAAAAAGGTTCCCTCTTCAGATTTCCCACAACTTAAGCCTGGTCAGTGCCCCCTTCGGTGAACAAAACAGATGGGGCTTTTCCTTTGTACTGGATCACTGGTCTTATTCGGGTTGAGATTTATTCAGCCACACTCAAAAGTCTTGGCAAGCAAACCCTGCCTCTCAGGTGTTTAAAAAAAAAAAAAGAAAGTCTGTGACCAACATTTTTTAACCTCTAAAATATAGTTTAGTAAAACTAGAGTTATTGTTATAACAGACTGGATATTGAGGGACAGGGAGTTATTTATTGGGAGTAATAAATTACCCCAAAACTCAGCTCTCTGGCCCTATGATATGACAAGGAATTACACAATTGGCCTCATTGCTGAGACTTAAGGACACACATACACACACACACATGCACAGCCCCACAGCTCTGGGTTTTCACTTTTACATCTCAAGAAGATAAACAATGGAAGCAGTAAATATCAATGCCCCTGAGCCAACATCATAGACTTTTAAAGGAAATTTTGCATGGCCAATAGCCCATGTGGTAGCCAGCCTCCATGATGGCCCCCAGAGATCCCCCTCTCCTGATGTTCACACTCCTGTGTAGTCTCCTTCCGGGCTGTAGCACGGTTGGTCTGTGTGACCCAGAGAACAGGCAGAAGTGATGTCTGTCACTTCTAAGATCAGGTTATGAAAGGCACTGTGGCTTCTGTTTTGAACCTCCTCGCCCTCCAACTCTGTCTCCTCACTCGGGCAGAAGTCAACCGCCCTGTCTTGAGGACACTCAGCAGCCCTGTGGAGAGGCCCATGTGGAGAATTAAACGAGTCACATGAGTGAATCTTCTGGGAAGCAGATTCTCCGGCTCCAGTCGTGGCTGTAGCTTGATTGCAACCTCGTGAGAGACCGTGAACCAGAACCCTCCAGCTGAGCCACCCCCAGACTTCTGTCTCCAGAAACTGTGAGATAATTAATGTTTGTTGTTTTAAGCCACTGAGTTTTGGGGTAATTTATTACTCCCAATAAATAACTCCCTCTCCCTCAATATCCAGTCTGTTATAACAGTAACTCTAGTTTTACTAAACTATATTTTAGAGGTTAAAAAATGTTGGTCACAGACTTTCTTTCTTTTTTTTTTTTTAAAGATTTTATTTATTTATTTGTCAGAGAGCTAGAGCACAAGCAGGAGGAGTGGCAGGCAGAGGGAGAAGCAGGCTTCCCACTGAGCAAGGTGCCCGATGCGGGACTCAATCCTAGCATCCTGGGACCATGACCTGAGCCGAAGGCAGACACTTAACTGACTGAGCACCCAGGCATCCTGGTCACAGACTTTCACATAATTTTTAAAGCTCTTTATTTAATACATATAATTGATGGATCCAAATTTTTAAAAAATTTTCTCAGTTGACTGAACTCAAATAGTAAAAGATTCTTCAAAGGACTACAGATTGCTGTCATAACATCCAATATCCAAGCAAATTGTATATTTCAGAGAAGGACTGGAAAGTTCTTTATTTCACGAGGCTTTAGGGGAGCTGCCTTCCCAGCAGGCTCTCTCTGAGCACCTGCTGAAATCCTCCATGTGGCTCTCAGCCCGCTCCGGATCTAGGACAACACAAGGGCTTTTAGGTACGCCTGGCTGGCTTTGTCATCCCCGGTCTCTTTCTCTAGAACACTGTAAATCAAAGGCCCCAGCTAACGCTTATACATCAAACCTGGAGAAGAAAAGAAGATGAGACCAAAAGAGACATAAATAAAACCCTTCCCCTGTGAGATAGTACGGCAGCTGGCTAAGCGATCACTGAATGCCAGCCTCAGGTAACATTTTCCCTTCTTGATTTTATGAACTTAGCCTGATCTTTCACAGCTCTTCTTTTTTAAGCCTACCCATGACAAACAATTCCAAGCTTGCCTAGTAAAAATACCACTGAGGGAGAATGTCTTCTAATCTGAACATTTCAGACGCTGATTTCTTGGATTCTCTATCGCTAGAGGTAAGTACGTATCCAGCTCACACTTTATTCCCAGGAACAAACGCAGTGCCTGGCACACAGTAGGTGCTCACTCAATATCTGAATTTACTTTCCATCTCTGAGGGCCTATCAATCAATCGATCAATCAGTCAAAGGGTATCTGTTGAGGGGCTATGGGTATAGCACAGAGCCAAGAGCTGTGAGGACCACGAAACTTAACACAGCAGATACATACCTGAAGCACTTAAAAAAAGATTATCAAGCCCTCCTGGTGAATCCACTGGAATCCAGTGTTCTTTATATAGAAACACAAAGTTGTGACTTTCTTAGCAAGTTACGTGATGTTTTAAATATTCTACGTAGTTCCTGTGGTACCTGAAAGCGACAAGCATTCACTGGGTACTTTATCTGCTGAGGGCCAAGCAGTTACACAGGTGAGCATTACAGTTCATAAGCAAAGTCTGGGATTGGAAATAATGTATAAGGGTAAGAGTAGAGATGATTTTGTTTCCTTCTAATATTCTGTATGTTCAACATCTCCTCCAATTAGCATGTATTAGTTTAAATAAAGTCAGAGGAAATAAATGTACTCTTAAAGGAGTGGAATGAGATGGAAGGGGGAAAAAGATCAGGCAAGTCAACAACGAGTCAGGGAAAGGCGGCCTCTGAGGAAGAGCATTAGCTTTGGAGTCTTCGGATCTGGGTTCAGATCTCAGCATTGCTACAGTATCAGCTGTCTCCGGGCAGATAAGTTTGCCTTTCTGAGCCCCCACTTCCTACTCTGTAAAATAGGGATAATAGTGTCTTCTTTAGGTAGAAAATGAAGATTAAATGAGACAGTATACTTGAAAGCTCTCGGCACAATGGTCAGGGTGGAGTCATGGCGGGTATTATCTCTACATTATCATGGGTGACAGGGAGTGATATCTGATGCAATTCTTGGGGTCTCTGTGTCTCTCCTGATACACAGCTGAAGAGCTTTCCCCTCCCCCCATTCTTCTACACCGTCCTGTTTTACCCCTTCTTCTCTTCTTTTTTCTACTGCTTTTGTCTCTGCCAGTTACGTAAACCCGCCGGTGTGCTTGGGTCTGCCGGTGGGATCTAGTTTCGTGAGGCAGGGTCAGGTCACGTGATCCAGGATCGTGCCATCCTACCATCTCAGTATGTGATTGCAAGCCTCTTAACTCACTCTTGGCAACTCTGTGTCATCTAACCTATAAAATGGTGACAGGACCCCTGCCTTTACTTACAACAGGAAAATATTCGAAGAAAAAAAGATCTAAGTAAATAGCCTCCAGCAAGGACAGAGTAGCTGGCGCCAGACCTGCCCTTCTGCTGTGAACAGCTAGAAAGCTGGACAAAACCACTGCTTCCAGATACTGAACACAGGACGTTTAGGAGAGAGAGGGGAAACAAGTAAGATGTGCCTACGACTGCCCCCGCTTTCTGCCTGGAGGCAGCTTCTGGCCCACAGTGCCAGGAGGGAGAATCCAAGCAGGGCACAGAGACTGGAATTTGAGGTACCTGAAATTTAGGAAGCCAAGTCCTGCAGAGGAGGGAGTTGCATAGAGAGAAAACTCCAGAAATCAGCATAGAGTTTATTCTTTAGAGTTTCACTGAATACTAACCTGTGCATATTTAAGACAGAAGTCCATAAAGCCAGGCAAAGCCAGGGGAGCTGGGAGCTGGACACCTCTCAGAAGCCCCACAGGGCTGGGAGGCACGCATGTTCTGACGGTTGAAGTGGAGCGCCCTTGTTGAACAGCTGGGGTATTCAGGACAGACCCAGAAAGGTCACACCTTGGTAGGAACCTAAACTAGCTATAGAGTAAAGGCTGCCCTAAAATCTCCCCAACAAGCTTAGAAACAAGCCTTGAAAGGATCAAGTCCACTAGCAAGTAATCTACCAGTTATACCATTACTGTTACATAAAAGCAAATTCCGTACAGGAAGAAAAGCAGCCCATGGGTCCCATAAAGGGGGATAATACTAAGAAGGATTTTCAGTGGTTACAGGGGGCTTTATAAAGAGTCCTTCTAGGGCGCCTGGGTGGCTCAGTTGGTTAAGCGACTGCCTTCGGCTCAGGTCATGATCCTGGAGTCCCTGGATCGAGTCCCACATCAGGGTCCCTGCTCAGCGGAGAGTCTGCTTCTCCCTCTGACCCTCCCCCATCTCATGTGCTTGCTCTCTCTCATTCTCTCTCTCTCAAATAAATAAATAATATCTTAAAAAAAAAAAAAAGAGTCCTTCTAGAGCAGGCGTTGGCAAACTTTTCCTGTAAAGGGCCAGAAAGCTGTACAAAATCAGGCCTTGGGTCAGATTTGGTCCACAGGCCTTAGTCTGCCAACCTCTGCCAACCTCCATCTTACTGAGCTATCACTGGTCTTTCCACGGCATACTCTACGGAGTTAGAATCTGCACTTTCACCAGCTCCCTCCCGGACTGATACACACATTTCCTCTTGAAAAGCACTGCCCTAAGGCAGCGGGTTTTTTTTTTTTTTAAAGATTTTATTTATTTGAGAGAGAGAGAATGAGAGATAGCATGAGAGGGAAGAGGGTCAGAGGGAGAAGCAGGCTCCCCGCCGAGCCGGGAGCCCGATGCGGGGCTTGATCCCGGGACCCTGGAATCATGACCTGAGCCGAAGGCAGATACTTAACGACTGAGCCACCCAGGCACCCCCTAAGGCAGCGGTTTTTAAGCTTGGCTGCATATTAGAACCACCTAAGGAGCTTTTAAAAAATTCTGATCCCCAGGCTGCCCTCCTTACCCATTAAATCAGAGCTTCTAGAGGTAGATCCCAGGTATCAGTATCATTAAAGCCCCCTCCAGGTGATACCAATGTGCAGCTAAGGCTGAGAACCAAGGCTGAAGAGGCTCATTTAGAACAGTCACAACACAGAGAAAGCAGCCCGATGCCCCACCAGGCCCACTCGCTCTCAGAGACGAATGGATTCCAGAATCACAGAAAACCCCAAGGAGCGTGAGTGGTAAAAAAGAATGTTGGAGCTAATTCTTTTTTTTTTTTTTTTTTTGAAGTATAGTTGACACACAATGTTACATGAGTTTCAGGTGTACAACATAATGATTCCAGAACTCTCTACCTTATGCTATGCTCACCACAAATGTAGCTCCTATCTGTCACCATACAACTCATTAGAGCTAGTTCTTTTTTTTTTTAAAGATTTTATTTATTTATTTGTCAAAGAGAGAGGGAGAGGCAGATGGAGAAGCAGGCTCCCCACTGAGCAGAGAGCCTGATGCAGGACCCGATCCCAGGACCCTGAGATCATGACCTGAACAGATGGCAGATGCTTAAGTGATAAGCCACCCAGGCATCCCTAGAGCTAGTTCTTGATGTCTGTTTCCGGGACCCTGGTGGTGTGTGCCATTAAAAAAAGTAATCTTGGAAATGTAGACTCTATTTAAAAAGATGTTATCGATTTCAGACTCAAAAGTTAAACATTTAGCTAAAAGTAGACAAACTCATTAATCTTTTTTTGACTTTGGAATTACGTTAAAGACTTCATTCCATAGGGCTGAGCTCAGAAGCATTTTAAATTCAGGAACATTTAACACAAAAAATACAGCTATTCCTAAATAAACCACCACTGAGTGCTCAGTACTTTTCTTCAAGATTCTTGGGTCCCATACAATTTCACAGATGAGATTTCCTTTTTCCAGTGTTTATAAATATTTAACACCTTTACAGATGCTTTCTGGATCAATACTCAGGATGCCATGGAAGAGAGGCAGTAATAGGTGTTTTGAGAAAAGCTGGCTCATTTCTTGATATACAAAACAACCACTTAACTCAGTTCTTTTTGTTTGTTTCTCTTTGCCTTTATCATTTGAGGAAATAGTGCTGTAAATACATGATTCTTCTTCCTGCTGCTCTTTTTTTTTTTTTTTAAAGATTTTATTTATTTATTTGAGAGAGAGAATGAGAGAGACAGAGAGCACATGAGAGGGGGGAGGGTCAGAGGGAGAAGCAGGCTCCCTGCCGAGCAGGAAGCCCGATGCGGGACTCGATCCTGGGACTCCAGGATCATGACCTGAGCCGAAGGCAGTCGCTTAACCAACTGAGCCACCCAGGCGCCCTTCCTGCTGCTCTTTTATAATATTTGCATTTTCTCCCGTCCATAGAAAAGTACAGAAGCTCTTTATCACATGATTAAGTTTACAAGCAAAAGAAAAATCTATTAATTTACTCCATTAATACTAAAATTCTTCTAGACTCTATTCACATGTCACTTCTCAGAGAGGCCTTTCCTGGCCATGGTGTTTAAATCACACCATCTCTTATATTGCATTCCCTTCTTCCATAGCACCAGCTGATATATTATTTAATTTTTTGTTTTGTTGTCTCTGTACCCCTTCTGTACCCCCTCTAGCCATGACCGCAGTAACCAGAATTAAAGCTCCTTGAAGGCAAGGTCTTCACCTATTTCGTTCACCATGTCTCCCCAGTGTCAAGCACATTATCATGCTCATTAATCATTTCTTGAATGGAAGAACAAACAACATCCACTACATTTTAAAGAATCCAGTCATCAGGAGTTCAGGCAAACAACCCAATACAGTAAGGAGAAAACCAAAAAGAACTCAGTGTGATGCATATGGCAACCTTGCCTCTCATCAGTGTAACCATTTACCCTGAAAGGCAGAGAGACAGACAACGTCACTGAGCTTGAAGCTTATAATCTACTAAAAATATCATCCACAAACTTCACGAAAATCTCTCCACCAAAGGAAATGTAATCCACAGAAAAGAATAGCCTTGCTGTCTTATAAGAGGCCACCCATTCACTTGTTCAAAGATACCAGAATTTTTAGAAATGGAAG